TTTAGATTTCACTAATTACATTTCTACCAGCAGAAATCAAACCAAGTATTCAGGAATCAGATTTGTATTGGTCAGAACTATATTTCAGACATCTATAACTTGACTTATTCTAGGCGGCCATTTTAACATATATTGGTTTGGATATCATGCTCATTGAGCTGCGTGAAGCTGACACCCCACCCACGTCAAAAAACTCTGCAAATAGACCGAATGGTTAGTGCAACGTTAGTGCAGATTTGTGCAGAAAAAAAAATTGTTTGTGCTACTTTTGTTTAAGAGATATTAAAGATTATTTCTTAGGTCATCCAGAGGTCACCATCCCCCCATTAAACTCCAATTTGAACCAAAGTGGTCTCCTTTTTTAGTGCTTCATTTGTGCTGATTTGTGCCGTTAAAACGGCCATTTGTGCTATTTTAGTTTTTAAGATATAATAAATAAAAATTTAGGCCGGGGACGTCGCCATCCCCCTATTAGAGAGCTGCGGAAGTGAACAAGTCAGCAGCAAAGCAAAGGAGTCTCGTCTAAGTTAGTTAGAGTCACCTCTGCATGTTAGTGGATGTTTCAAGTGTGTAACTGATGACATGTAAGTCATCAGTTACACACACTCCCTGTAAAGTCTTGTGAGGACTTCAAATTTGCCAAACGGTCAATGCCGTTTTAATAACTCTTACATTTAATGTCATAAGTTACAAATTAAAGCTTGATGCATTTTATTTAAGCATAAAGAAGTTGGTTAATTGAAATGACACTATATTGCCTACGCGCTGTGCACTTCTAACTTCATCCTTCTGGCGCATCTCAGTTATCTTTTTAAACCAGTTTGCTGCTCAATGTGCGGAAAATAGGGGTCAACAATGTGAATACGACTATCAAAACCACCTTAAAAGAAATCACAGTTACAATATTAGAATAATAATAAAGGAATATAAGTAACAGGTAAAATATTTGTAGAAGTTTGTATAAGTATATAACTGTTGCAGAATGTGAGGATTAGATCATGTGCAGGCTCAGGCTGGTGTGTCCCCCTCTCCATTTGTGAGACGACAATATTGCATTTCTGTGGAGAAAGGTTAATATATTGGTGGCTTTGTTGACATTGCTATCTAAAGCAAAGTTCTTTAAATGAGGCACAATAAATCTCGCTGCAATCAATCTTTATTAGGGAATACAAAACAATATAAAACACATTTTACAATAACAGCTAAAACAACTTGCAATATAAAACAAATATATGAAATTAACTGCTTTCTTGAGAACAGTGGTTAGACCAAACGGTGCATCTGGCCACATCTTCTTCCACCAAGGCGTTCTGACAGCGGACAACAACTGCTGTTGTTGAATAAATACTTTCCTTTCCAGCATGGGGCAACCAAGCCACTGTAGAAAATAAGTATTCTTATAACAGTGGAAAGTACAAAAAAAAAAAAAATAAAATAACAATAAAAACACGTTTCCCTAGAGATCTTTGCCAATAGCATGAATATATAAATAATCTAACAAGAAGGGGACAAACAGGCTCGGTAATCTTCATAATAATGACTCTGATTTATCAGTAGAAACATTTTAAAAAGACTTCCCTTCTTTCCAGTGTTGGCAGTGAGATATAATTTACTTTAGTCCCAGACTAAATTACTGACTGAATTTACAGGATAAAAAGCGGCCTGAAAAAAAAACAGCAGCAGGTGAAATTAGTTGTAGATGTGTAATAAATGTAGTCGGTTGTGATCATCACCTGCAAGTATAGAGAATATAGTTTGAATCGGACATGCAAGCAGCACACAGTTGGTTTTAACGGCACAAACCAGCACAAAGAAGCACTAAAAAGGAGACCACTTTGGATCAAATCGGAGTTTAATGGGGGGATGGTGACGTCATCAGCCAAAAATTAAAATGATTATAACTTAAAAACTAAAATAGCACAAATGACCGTTTTAACGGCACAAATCAGCACAAAGAAGCACTAAAAAAGGAGACCAGTTTCGTTCAAATTGGAGTTTAATGGGGGGATGGTGACCTCTGGATGACCTAAGAAATAATCTTTAATATCTCTTAAAGAAAAGTAGCACAAACAATATTTTTTTCTGCACAAATCTGCACTAACGTTGCACTAACCATTCAGTCTATTTGCAGAGTTTTTTGACGTGGGTGGGGTGTCAGCTTCACGCAGCTTGTTCATTGGGCCGTTACTTTCAGATAACTGAAATGACATCACTCACATCTAATGTAAACACTTTAGTCTAAAAATGAATTTCAGATCTCTGTAATCCAATTCTTATCTAGCTGTAACTCTATTATAGAGATCTGAAATTAGAGTCTATCCTCATTAGAGTTCTTTTTTAGATGTTCATTTTGACTCAGAAGAAATGCATTTGAGACATGTGGAATATATATTCAGTCAAGCTAGTAGATGTGAAAAGGGCCGCCTAAAATTTGTAAAGATTTCAAGGTATCTTAACGTTTATTCTTAATAGTACAATAATAGTTTTAGCATCCTGAAATGTAATTTTTGCTTCCAAAAATGTAATTCAGGATATCTATGTGTGCAGTTTTCCAGGTAGGAACGAGTTTAGACCAGGAAGAATGTTCTTTAGAGATCAACAGATGACAGGACAGCGCTTCTAATAAATGTCAATATGGCCTGCCATAGACTCGCTCTGTCTGTTCTCCCTCATTCCCAAATCCCTGTTATGAACATAATGAAGATGATAACTGTTCATCCTGACAGAAGAACCGTCCTAATTAGATAAACTACATGGAAAACGTTATCTTTAACACATAACCAGCAGGTATTATCAGACAGCAATAAAAAAAATAAATGTTTAATTTTCTGAACTACCAGCATTTGGCTCATCTTCATTAAAAGCAGTTGGTTAAATAATGCCAGCGGTTAACATTTAACCGTTTCATTTTTCCACTGTTTTGTTACGATCGGCTGTTTTTGGTTTGATTTCAACATATTTAAAGTCGTACATTTAGGAATCGATTTAAATCAATCTGTGAAACACGACTTAGATCAGTAAAAGGATACTTATTATGATGAATTTAATACCTACCCAGTAAGGCTGGGTATTATGTCATTTAATCAGATAACATTTAGACTGTGATAAATGTTTTATGACCACGCCCCCTGCTGGCTGTATGTTAGAACAACAATTGAAAGAGTGATTGGAGCTCCAATCATGGTCAAACAGATAAATCTGCACAGATATGGAATAAATTCACCACAACTTCCATTAAAATATAAGAGTTTATTAACAGAAATTAATCAGATCCAAGTCAAACAGATTTTAGTTAAAAACTCTTAGCTAAAACTAGTAAAACTCAACTAAACTAAACTACTATGAACAAAGAGGAAGGAATGATACATTGTTGAAAGCCATAAAATGAAGCAATGACATCACAGTTTATCTGGATTTAAAGTTTGAGAATCAAAGTTTATCTTGAAGAATTTAGGATGAGATCAAATAAGCTAATTTAGAGCGACCGGAATGTTTTTAAACTAATTCCCATTGAAAATCCATGAGGTGCATAAAACATTATTTAGCCAAATAATGTTTTATTGAATGATTTGCTTAATCAAAGATCAATAACCTTTAAATGATTATAAGTCGTCTTTGACCGAGCTAATAGCTAGCTGATTTAGTAATTTAATAATGAATTATAATGAGGAAACACCTGAACAGTGATATCATATTAGTGTTTAATCCTTAGTGAAATAAAGCTTGTTTAAGCTTTATAGACAACAGCTCCAAACATTCTGCTAAACCTGTTAGCTTGTCTTGATTGAATGGTCAAAAATCACCAGAAAGACAAAATGTTTAACTGGAAACTCTTTCTCTAAATGTGCCAGTCCTCTACCTGTGCTGGTCTCCATTTAGGAAAAGCTATGTTTACCAGTATTAGCATCTTAGAATGTCAGGAAGTCCTTTGTTCTCAGATGTTGATGTTGTGCTGCTATAGGCTTAGACTGCTGGAGGACATAGGGACCACTTTTCGTATCTCTATTCTCCCACTCTGCAGAATCTGATTGATCTGATCTCTGACTGTGACTAACTGGATGTGCTCTCTTCATCCTCTGACATGGGAGCTGGCTCGGAGCTCGTCTGCCTGGCTGTGTGTTTCCTGGACGGGGCCGCCTGTGGAGCTGGTTGACAGTTGCCTTTTGTATCTATGCTTCTTTTTCTATGTCTGCTTCTGTCTCCTTGAACCCCAGTGGGCCTCAGCAGATGGCCGCTCACACTGAGCCTGGTTCTGCTGGAGGTTTCTTTCTGTTCAAAGGGAGTTTTTCCTCTCCACTGTCGCTACAAGCATGCTTAGTGTGAGGGATTGCTGAAGAGTCAATGAGTCGATGCAATCAGCTGGTTTTCCTTAGATAGAAAACTTTGAATCAATCTGACTGGATGATCTGGTGAACTGGAAAGTGACCTGAGATGACATGATGTGAATTGGAGCTATAGAAATACACTGAATAGAATTGAATTGAATAGATGCTCCACACCTCCAACATCTTCAAGCATCTGAAAGTTCCTGAAACTCAGACAGAAGTAGTTTTTTTCAAATAAAGCGCATGCAAAAATAACCTCATAATGATTTTAAGAGATTCAAAGATTATTATAATAAGAAACTTAGAGACAAAGGAAATATGAAAGCAACATGGAAACTATTAAATAAGTTACTAAGGTTTCATATTGAATACTATAATATAGGTTCAGAGCTGGGGGTCTGTTTGTCCAGATCACGCCCCTCCAGGTGTTTCTGTCGTTTCTCACCTGGTTCTCTGGGTGTTCTAGGTGATGTTTGGGTCTCATATTGATAGATAGTGGTATTAAATACTCAGAATAACTCCTCTGACTTTTTATTAATTTGTCTGAAGGAATAAAACGAGATATTTTTTAAGCAAAGAGCAAGCCAACCCCAGTTAAACATGACCTGCCTGGTAGAAGTCAGCGTTTGTCCTGTAGCAGAACTCCCTCAGCGTTCTCTGTTCTGCCTGTTCCAGATGCGTCATGGGGTTGGTGTTAAAGAGGGGAATCACTGCCCACCTACCTACGTTTACCCTGAGGAAGTCAAGATGTTGCTGCGCTCTGCCTTCCCAGACGACGTCTGTGGCTACGCTGACCCCGACCATGACCATGTGAGTTTACACTATTTTAGACCCTGGGGTTCATTCTGGTGCATATCTGAGGTCATCCTGTAGACAGGAACTGTTTATGGAACTAGAACCACTTTCTCTCCATCAATGCCTCTTAGATTCTAAAGTTTCAGTGGCCAGAAGGAGGCTCCTATCCTACAGTGAGTTCTGGGACTTCATTGGGGTCTTCTGTCATTTGTTTTTTGGGTCAGGATCTGGACCGGACAAGGAGCTGGATCCCGCTAATGTTCTCCAGGAGAGGGTTAGAGTCTTTGAACCCAGAGCTTTGTCCTGTAGTTCCGCTTTACCACAACTTTATGGAGAAACAACGACACAATAACTACAGACTAGGGTTGTCATGATATTACAAACTCCAGACAGATGCTAAGAAAAATACTAAATACCATCTTTGATATTGAGACGGCAGTTTTTTCAATGTTAGGTTGTTTCTGGCTAAAAAGCAAATTACTTACAGTCTAAAAAAAACCTATCTTTAATTCTATATTTTGTTAGGTTTTATTATTTATACATCATGTGCACTGTTAATTTGTTAGTCAGATTAGACAGAGCAGAAGGCCTTCCTTCACATTGTGGATGTCGTGGTGTGTACGGAGGTCATCTAATCAGGACAGCCTTCGTGTCTCTAAGAGTATACAGAATATGGGCACATCTTGGAGCCGGTCTGATAGGAGAGCTGCTGTATCTGTAACCCTGAGACAGAGAGGCAACCTGCATGGAGTTCAAGACATGGATGGCGTGTCAGTTTCTGATACGGACAGCTAAGCATCCACATGATGCAACACAGACTCAGAAGGTATAAGAAGCAGGTGATGACGTTGTTCGAGGGGCTCAAACTTTGCCGGACGCTTGCGGACGTGATTTTTGAGACCACAGCTGTGCATAGCTCGAAGCATTTTTCTCTGTCCTGTAACGACCTATTCTGGAATAAACTCTGTTACTTTTTTACTCCTGTTTAGTTTGAGTTAAGAGTAGTAGATAACTTGCTCCCAGGAAAAGAACCGGTAGGGAAGTCCCGAGGCGCAGCCGCCTTCAGGGGGACCTAGCTTCCATATTTAACACTGGTAGGGGTGGTAAATATTTTATTTAAAAGAGAATGGCAGCTAGAGAGATTGCACCTCAGTCAACAATCTATGGCATCATCAAGAACTTCAAGGAGAGAGGTTCCATTGTTGCCAAACAGGCTCCAAGTCACCCAAGAAAGACCAGCAAGCGCCAGGACCGTCTCTGAAAAGTGTTTCAGCTGCGGGATGGGGCTGCCAGCAGTGCAGAGCTTGCTCAGGAATGGCAGCGGGCAGAGTGTTAATAAACAGCTGATGTTTTAACCAACCAATAAACTCTTGTTTTTGGTCAGGGCTAACAGGTCTACCTTGATGCAGCCTGAAGCATTCTTTGCTGTCTTCAACCATCTGCTACATAATGTTTATGGTCTCCTTTCTGATTTTTCAGGTGGTCTTCATCACCATGGAGGACCTGCAGAGCATTGGAAACCATTGACCTGTCCCCAGTGTGTTTGGAGGAGAAGAAAAGCTTGTTTCTGGTTTCCATGTTTGGATCGTTTAATCCTGATTGTTTTCATTGTGACTGAACAGCAGAATCAGTGATGCTGTTTAGTACTTTATGATTCTAACTGCTGCTATTTCCAGCAGATTTCTGCTGTTTGTCACAGAAATCCATTAAACAGATGAAAAACCTTTAAAATTGTCAGTTTTGTTTCTAATGAACACGTCCCAGCAGGGTTAGCTACCACCAGCAGAGCTATATGTGACCACCAGTGCAGAGCTATATGTGACCACCAGCAGAGCTATATGTGACCACCAGTGCAGAGCTATATGTGACCACCAGCAGAGCTATATGTGACCACCAGCAGAGCTATATGTGACCACCAGCAGAGCTATATGTGACCACCAGTACAGAGCTATATGTGACCACCAGTACAGAGCTATATGTGACCACCAGTACAGAGCTATATGTGACCACCAGTACAGAGCTATATGTGACCACCAGCAGAGCTATATGTGACCACCAGCAGAGCTATATGTGACCACCAGCAGAGCTATATGTGACCACCAGCAGAGCTATATGTGACCACCAGCAGAGCTATATGTGACCACCAGCAGAGCTATATGTGACCACCAGCAGAGCTATATGTGACCACCAGCAGAGCTATATGTGACCACCAGTACAGAGCTATATGTGACCACCAGCAGAGCTATATGTGACCACCAGTGCAGAGCTATATGTGACCACCAGCAGAGCTATATGTGACCACCAGCAGAGCTATATGTGACCACCAGCAGAGCTATATGTGACCACCAGCAGAGCTATATGTGACCACCAGCAGAGCTATATGTGACCACCAGTACAGAGCTATATGTGACCACCAGCAGAGCTATATGTGACCACCAGTGCAGAGCTATATGTGACCACCAGCAGAGCTATATGTGACCACCAGCAGAGCTATATGTGACCACCAGCAGAGCTATATGTGACCACCAGCAGAGCTATATGTGACCACCAGCAGAGCTATATGTGACCACCAGCAGAGCTATATGTGACCACCAGCAGAGCTATATGTGACCACCAGTACAGAGCTATATGTGACCACCAGCAGAGCTATATGTGACCACCAGTGCAGAGCTATATGTGACCACCAGCAGAGCTATATGTGACCACCAGCAGAGCTATATGTGACCACCAGTACAGAGCTATATGTGACCACCAGCAGAGCTATATGTGACCACCAGTACAGAGCTATATGTGACCACCAGCAGAGCTATATGTGACCACCAGCAGAGCTATATGTGACCACCAGTACAGAGCTATATGTGACCACCAGTACAGAGCTATATGTGACCACCAGTGCAGAGCTATGTGACCACCAGCAGAGCTATATGTGACCACCAGTACAGAGCTATATGTGACCACCAGTACAGAGCTATATGTGACCACCAGTGCAGAGCTATGTGACCACCAGCAGAGCTATATGTGACCACCAGCAGAGCTATATGTGACCACCAGTACAGAGCTATATGTGACCACCAGTACAGAGCTATATGTGACCACCAGTGCAGAGCTATGTGACCACCAGCAGAGCTATATGTGACCACCAGTACAGAGCTATATGTGACCACCAGTACAGAGCTATATGTGACCACCAGTGCAGAGCTATGTGACCACCAGTACAGAGCTATATGTGACCACCAGCAGAGCTATATGTGACCACCAGCAGAGCTATATGTGACCACCAGTACAGAGCTATATGTGACCACCAGTACAGAGCTATATGTGACCACCAGTGCAGAGCTATATGTGACCACCAGCAGAGCTATATGTGACCACCAGTACAGAGCTATATGTGACCACCAGCAGAGCTATATGTGACCACCAGTGCAGAGCTATATGTGACCACCAGCAGAGCTATATGTGACCACCAGTGCAGAGCTATATGTGACCACCAGCAGAGCTATATGTGACCACCAGTGCAGAGCTATATGTGACCACCAGTGCAGAGCTATATGTGACCACCAGCAGAGCTATATGTGACCACCAGTGCAGAGCTATATGTGACCACCAGCAGAGCTATATGTGACCACCAGTACAGAGCTATATGTGACCACCAGTACAGAGCTATATGTGACCACCAATGCAGAGCTATATGTGACCACCAGCAGAGCTATATGTGACCACCAGTGCAGAGCTATATGTGACCACCAGCAGAGCTATATGTGACCACCAGCAGAGCTATATGTGACCACCAGTGCAGAGCTATATGTGACCACCAGCAGAGCTATATGTGACCACCAGTACAGAGCTATATGTGACCACCAGTACAGAGCTATATGTGACCACCAGCAGAGCTATATGTGACCACCAGCAGAGCTATATGTGACCACCAGTACAGAGCTATATGTGACCACCAGCAGAGCTATATGTGACCACCAGCAGAGCTATATGTGACCACCAGCAGAGCTATATGTGACCACCAGCAGAGCTATATGTGACCACCAGCAGAGCTATATGTGACCACCAGCAGAGCTATATGTGACCACCAGTGCAGAGCTATATGTGACCACCAGCAGAGCTATATGTGACCACCAGCAGAGCTATATGTGACCACCAGTACAGAGCTATATGTGACCACCAGCAGAGCTATATGTGACCACCAGCAGAGCTATATGTGACCACCAGCAGAGCTATATGTGACCACCAGCAGAGCTATATGTGACCACCAGTACAGAGCTATATGTGACCACCAGTACAGAGCTATATGTGACCACCAGTGCAGAGCTATGTGACCACCAGCAGAGCTATATGTGACCACCAGTACAGAGCTATATGTGACCACCAATGCAAAGTTATGTGACCACCAGCAGAGCTATATGTGACCACCAGTGCAGAGCTATATGTGACCACCAGTGCAGAGCTATATGTGACCACCAGCAGAGCTATATGTGACCACCAGTACAGAGCTATATGTGACCACCAGCAGAGCTATATGTGACCACCAGTGCAGAGCTATATGTGACCACCAGCAGAGCTATATGTGACCACCAGTACAGAGCTATATGTGACCACCAGCAGAGCTATATGTGACCACCAATGCAAAGTTATGTGTCCACCAGCAGAGCTATATGTGACCACCAGTGCAGAGCTATATGTGACCACCAGCAGAGCTATATGTGACCACCAGCAGAGCTATATGTGACCACCAGTGCAGAGCTATATGTGTCCACCAGCAGAGCTATATGTGACCACCAGTGCAGAGCTATATGTGACCACCAGTACAGAGCTATATGTGACCACCAGTGCAGAGTTATGTGACCACCAGCAGAGCTATATGTGACCACCAGCAGAGCTATATGTGACCACCAGCAGAGCTATATGTGACCACCAGCAGAGCTATATGTGACCACCAGTGCAGAGCTATATGTGACCACCAGCAGAGCTATATGTGACCACCAGTGCAAAGTTATGTGTCCACCAGCAGAGCTATATGTGACCACCAGTGCAGAGCTTCCTCATACATGCCTGTAGGCACATCTGCATACGTCTCCTCCATCATAACCACATCAAATTCCTCTTGTTTTCCATTTTATTCATCACAGTTTGGTCAGGTTTTAGTTTGAAGGCCAACATTGATCCACATAGTTCCTTTTCCTCTTTAAAATGAAAATGTTTTTCTAGCTCAGATAAAAGCTTTAGTTAGAGTTTACTTCTGATCATAAAGTGATAAAGTAGAGCCTTTTGAATCCATAGGTTTAAATAAAAAACAGATTCCCTGCAGGAACCAGCAATGCTTCAGAGATGAGCTGCAGGGATGGAGGTCATCTTTCTGTAAAGCTGTGCCTCTAGATGGCGCCGTTGACCCAGACCTGCCTTCTACCCTGAGGCAGAAAATGGCAGTTTGGCTCTGATGTCTAATGCGTAACCAACGGTTACAGGAAGTCAGCATCATTTATCCGCTCATTAATCTGCATAACAAACGGGTGCTGAGGTGCAAACAGGACCTTGAAGCTCAGAGCTACAGACCCCTCAGCGTCCCTCCAACTCATTTGCATTTTTCTTTCCTGTACTGTTGATGAAAGGCTCTGATTGGGCATGCTTTTGGCCTCTTTCTTCTCAAGCAAGATGTTCTTTTTTTGTAGAGAGTTGAGCATTTATTGGTAGAATTGGATATTCAAGAAAGCCTCCAAGAAAACTTCTCAGCAATATCTAGCTAGTTTAGATCTCAGTGGTTCTACGGGTGACAGAGTGATGAAGAGGTAATGAATATCAGAGTAATGATAAATCTTCCTCAAAGTGTAGTTAAAAGCCTTCAGCTGATCCAAAATGCTGCAGCCAGAGTCCTGATGAAAATGAAAAAGAGAGATCATATCTCTCCTATCCTGGCTTCTCTTCATTGGCTTCCTGTTAAATCAAGAATAGAATTTAAAATCTTCCTTCTCACATATAAAGCCTTAAATGGCCAAGCTCCATCTGATATCAGAGATCTGATTGTTCCTTATGTTCCTAACAGAGCACTTCGCTCTCAATCTGCAGGTTTACTAGTGGTTCCTAGAATTTCTAAAAGTAGAATGGGAGGCAGATCTTTTAGTTCTCAGGCTCCTCTCCTGTGGAACCAACTACCAGTTTTAGTCCGTGAGGCAGACACCCTGTCTACTTTTAAGGCTAGGCTTAAAACTTTCCTTTTTGATAAAGCTTCTAGTTAGAGTGGCTCAGGTTATCCTGATCTATCTCTATAGTTATGCTGCTATAGGCTTAGACTGCTGGAGGACATAGGGACCCCTTTTTCATCATTCTATCTCTATTCTCCCACTCTGCAGAATCTGTTAGTTCAATAATGTTCTGCTCTCTCTGCTTTTCTCATAGTAGCTTCATCTGGTCTGTTCCTGTTTGGCTGTGACTCCATCCTGGAGAGAAACATCAGCTGTGCTGCTGCCATCAACACCTTTGTTTCTAGATAATCTTTGAAGCGATTGAGTTCACATGTGTTGTGAAATGGTGTAGTGTAAGGATGAATCAATAAAAGAGTACCTGCAAATTAAAGTCAGCATTGTGTCCCAAAGAGTAGAGGCCTAAATCTGTCAGAGTTCACCAGGAACTCCTCGCTGTTCCAGCTGTACAACAAAATAAATTAAGCCAACTCTGTCACTAAGCATAGAACTGTGTTTTGCTGTTCCAGAA